CTTGGACCCGTTTCCAAGAGGGAAAAAAAAAAGACTGGGAGCCGCAAAACCATTGCAACATTTAAAACAAATCCGACACTGCATATATTGCAAAAAAAACGCTCTGGTCATGAAGGGGGTTTAAGGGCCCAGTAAGCAAAGGGTTAATCAGGGCCACAGTGTATCGTCATAATCACAATCATAGCCTTAGGTCAGTGGTGGGCAACCTTTTTTTTCGACTGAGCCAAATCTCGCCAAAACCACAATTGAAATTTATTTTGAGAGAAACATTTTTTAAAACTGAAAATACATCCCCCATATAGTAATTCATCCCCCATATAGTAATTCATCCCCCATAGTAATTCATCCCCCATAGTAATTCATCCCCCATATAGTAATTCATCCCTCATATAGTAATTCATCCCCCATAGTAATTCATCCCCCCTATAGTAATTCATCCCCCATAGTAATTCATCCCCCCTATAGTAATTCATCCCCCCTATAGTAATTCATCCCCCATATAGTAATTCATCCCCCATATAGTAATTCATCCCCCATAGTAATTCATCCCCCCCCTATAGTAATTCATCCCCCTATAGTAATTCATCCCCCGTAGTAATTCATCCCCCCTATAGTAATTCATCCCCCCCCTATAGTAATTCATCCCCCCTATAGTAATTCATCCCCCGTAGTAATTCATCCCCCATAGTAATTCATCCCCCCCTATAGTAATTCATCCCCCATAGTAATTCATTCCCCATATTGTGTGAATTCACTTACCTTTGCTCCGCGCGTTCCTCTCGCTGGGTTCCCAGTCTTCAGGGCGGACTGTGAGAGGAGAGGAGTTCGTCACGCTGCCCCCAGCCTACATCCGGGCTGCCCCGCCTACATCCTGACAGCCAATGTTTGCCAGCGGGCGCCCCGGCACACAGAAGATCTGCATTAAAAGAGCCGCCCCGCTTGCCGACCCTATTGCCTGTCACCTGGTGGGCAGTGTGCTCCGGAGCCGCAGGAAAGGTGAAAAAGAGCCGCATGCGGCTCCGGAGCCGCGGGTTGCCGACACCCGGGCTATCCCATATTTTTGGGTTTGTTTCACTACTCTACCAGGGCCTCCAAACCTGGGATTGGTTAGACTCCCATAAACATGCAGATTAGGTCCCCACCCCAGCCCACTGGTTTATGGAAGGTTCTATGGTCCTCCAGAGCCAGGCAGAGGCAATAGAGTCCCAATCTGTTAAGCCATCCAGCCTGACCTGCAGTAACCCATCCAAATTACAGACTCCCTCGGTTACCATGAGACATACACAATATATTTACCTACACTACCCTAATAGCACACTAGAGGATGCTACATAAGGGGGCAATCGGATGAGGGCCCTGATGAAAGGGAAGACTCTGATATGGGAGCTAATGTAAGAGGGACTGTGATGATGACTCATGATGTAAGGGGGGGACTGTGATAGGAACTCCTGATATAAGAGGGCATAGGTTCTGCATATTCATCCTAATCTAATGACAGCCTAATACATACTAGTGTTCCCTGTTTACTCCTGAACCAACTCTGCATTACCTGTCAGACATTACTTCCAGGTTATGACTCTTGGTAGAGAAGTACACTGAGTGAACAGGAGACGCAGTTCCAAGCATCTCTGTCACACTGTTGATATTATGCCCGATTTTTGTTTTTTTACTGCACCCCAGATCAGACAGCCTAGATCCAGCCCTGCTCATGCTCAAGCATTGTGGAGAGAACCAGTTTCATCCAAACCTGCACTTAGTTGAAGCAAACTATTGATTCAATGTGGGAAAGAAATCCACAACTTGTGAGTTTAGGGGCTTATTCCCACCATTTGCATTGGGCTGCTGCACTGCAGTGGTGTGCACTGAAAAGTACTGCATACTGCACTTTGTTTCAGTACTGCAGCCTGCAACAAAAACGACTGCATTGCAACTGTGTGAATATAACCTAACGAAATGTCACTTGTGACATTTTCAATAAAACTCTATAAAAAAAAAAACAGTGTAATGTGCTGAGATTGGCACATCGGCACTCTTTCCTCCCGGAGCACACCAGTGACCATGTAATCAGTGTGGCTGCTGGTGTGGTTGAGCTAAAAAAAAAAAAAACAGCATTAAAACTCCAATAATACCTTAAAGACAAGGTCATTTGGGTGTTTTTTACAATATGAAGAATAGGATCACCATTTCTGTTTCTGAGGCTTTTATTAAGCAGTAATAGACAGCTGCCATATGGGAGCTGAAATGATCTCACACATCTCATACTGTAAGCACTTCATCACAAATAAGACTGGCAGATTGGAACACTGCTCATAGATCATATAGACAAGCAAGACCTATCAAAGGAAAGGAAATAAAGGTGATGTATAAGCAGCGCACCTATCGGCATTCAAAGCAAATAAAAGTAAGAAAGACAATACAAATAATTTATTTAAATGTTGAAACAATCTACGATATACCTGGAAATTATTATATACAGTTGCAAGAAAAAGTATGTGAACCCCTTGGGATTACGTGGAGTTTTGCATGAATTGGGCATAAAATGTGCTCTGAACGTCATCTAAGTCACAACAATAGAAGAACACAGTCTGCTGAACATAATACTACACAAACATTAGATGTTGCCATGGTTTAACTGCACATAACATGTAAACATTCACAGTGCAGGGAGGAAAAATGTATGTGAGGCCCTAGCTTAATGACTTCTCCCAGAGCTAATTGGAGCCAGGAGTGAGCCAACCTTGACTCCAATCAGTGTGATGATATTGGATGTGTTGCTGACAGCTGCCCTGCCCTTAAAAAAAACACACACCTGTTTTGGGTTTACTGGTTTCAAGAAGCACTGTCTGATGTGAACCATGCCTCGCAGAAAAGAGCTCTCAGAAGACCTACGATCAAGAATTGTTGACTTGCATGAAGCTGGAAAGGGTTACAAAAGTATCTCCAAAAGCCTTGATGTTCATGTGTCCACGGTAAGACAGACTGTCTACAAATGGAGAAAGTTTAGCACTGTTGCTACTCTCCCTAGGCGTGGTCGTCCTGTAAAAATGACTGCAAGAGCACAGCGCAGAATGCTGCATGAGGTAAAGAAGAATCCCAGAGTGTCAGCTAAAGACCTACAGAAATCTCTGGCACATGCTAACATTTTTGTTGACACATCTACAATAAGGAAAACATTAAACAAGAATGGAGTACATGGGAGGACACCACGGAGGAAGCCATTGCTGTCCAAAAAGAATATTGCAGCACGTTTGAAGTTTGCAAAAGAGCACCTGGATGTTCCACAGCACTACTGGCAAAATATTACTGTGGACAGATGAAATCAAGATTGAGTTGTTTGGGAAGAACACACAACACTATGTGTGGAGAAAAAAAGGCACAGCACACCAACATCAAAACCTCATCCCCACTGTAAAACATGGCGGAGGGAGCATCATGGTTTGGGGCTGCTTTGCTGCCTCAGGGCCTGGACGGATTGTTGTCATTGATGGGAAAATGAATTCCAGAGTTTATCAAGACATTTTGCAGGAAAACATACGTCCATCTGTCCACCAACTGAAGCTCCGCAGAGGATGGGTGATGCAACAGGACAATGACCCAAAGCATACAAGTAATTCAACAAAATAATGGCTGCAACAGCACAGAATACGCCTTCTGGAGTGGCCCAGTCAGAGTACTGACCTCAACCCGATTGAAATGCTGTGACATGACCTTAAGAGAGCGATTCACACCAGACATCCCAAGAATATTGCTACACTGAAACAGTTTTGTGAAGAGGAGTGGTCCAAAATTACTCCAGATCGTTGTGCAGGTCTGATCTGCAACTACAGGAAACGTTTGGTTGAGGTTATTGCTGCCAAAGGAGGGTCAACCAGTTATTAAGTCCAAAGGTTCACATACTTTTTCCTCCCTGCACTGTGAATGTTTACATGTTATGTGCAAGTAAACCATGGCAACATCTAATGTTTGTGTAGTATTATGTTCAGCAGACTGTGTTCTTCTATTGGTGTGACTTAGATGACGTTCAGAGCACATTTTATGCTCAATTCATGCAAAACTCCACCTAATCCCAAGGGGTTCACATACTTTTTCTTGCAACTGTAACAATAGTATAGATTAGCACTACCCCTTTAGGAGCTGCAGGCAAATGATAGGCTCTACTACCTTTCTCAGTGATGACCCGTTTTTAAGCCTCATGCAAACTGCAGCCCAAAAACGCCTGCAAGGAGAAAAGCATTTAGAAGACCCTCAGTGTGCATGAGACCTTAACTGGACCCACAGTACACAAACACCACAGTGGTGATAAATGGGCTTTAATAAATACAAAAATAAGCCCTGAAGAAAAATGGAGGTTAACAGGCTTGACAATAAGAAATAACGGTGTCCGTTCTCTTTGCCTCCTGAGAGAGGCCCTGCCTCTCAACCTTTTACCCTTTTGTTAGGCAAGGCACCCTTTAACCACTTCCAGTCCGGACACTTTTACCCCTTTCCTGACCAGGGCAATTTTCAGCTTTCAGCGCTATCACACTTTGAATGACAATAGCGCAGTCATGCAACACTGTACCCATATGAATTTTTTACCATTTTTTTGAAACAGATAAAACTTTATTTTGGTGGTATTTATTCACCTCTGGGATTTCTATTTTTTTTGCTATGTAAATGAAAATGTCCAAAAATTTTGAAAAAAAGTGTTTTTCTTATAAAATTTTGCAAATAAATAATATTTCATCATAAATCTTGGCCAAAATTTGTTCTGTTATCTTTTTAGTAAAAAAATAAATAAGCCAAATTAGTTTATAACCAAAAATTATAATTTTTAAACATTTTTTTTTACATTTTAATTTTTTTTTTAATATTATTATTTATTTATTTTTATTTTTTTTAATACTGTCACCCTAGCAGTACAGTGTCACCATGGTGACACTGTACTACTTTTGGGGGGTGATGAAGATTTATTTTTTTTTTTTTTACACTGATTGCTTTTACACCCATATAGGATGTAAAAGTAATCATGTCTCTTTCTCTCTGTCTGCATTCTTGCAGCCATTGAGAACTACTGTGTGAGCTGTGATTGGTCACAGCTTGTCACATGGTACAAGGCTGTTGTGAATAGCCTTGTACCATGTGACCTCTGTGATCATGCACAGATTTCACACGTAGTAAGCAATGATGTCAGAAGCGACATCTTGCTTATTACTTTGCATGTGATCAGTGATTGTTTCACTGTGTCCGGAGGACACAGCGGGCACCGAATCGCGGTGCTGCGCGCTCCCGGGGAGCGCGCAAAAGCAGGGTGCGGGAAGGTCGTTTATAAGCGGCCACCCGACCCTGCAGTGCCACCGTCCGGCCATTTATATACAACGGCCGGTCGGGAAGTGCTTAAAAAATTAGGGCTTATGTACACTGCAGCTGATAAACTTACCTTCAGGAGCTTTTCTGTGTTTTTTTTTCAGCAGCCCCTGAACTCACCCTAATGTTTTCCTATGTGTCCATGTACACATCATCGTTTACAGGCAGTTGAGTTTACAGTCGTTTTTTTGAACGCACCAAACTTGCGTTCAGGAGTAGATTTTTTTCAGCATTTTCAAATGCCAAACACTTGTAAATGCGTGTAAACGCGGCTAACTGCGTTTATAAGCGTTTGCGTTTAGAAGCGTTTTTTAACTGTCCCATATCCAAATGCTGTCCAGAGCCTTTTTTCATCATCAGAAATGCATGCAAAGCATTTTCCATTTATTCAAATGAATCTAGCACACTAGCGCAGACAGTTCTAGGTTTTGCGTGATGGAAAAAAATGGTAGAGAACGTGCCGCATTATGCTCATGATGGGATCCATAGTGAATACAGCCAGAAAAGATATGTAATCTCAACACATACTGCTCTCTCTGCTTTTGCTATCTGTATTTCTCTCAAAATGTCTGAAACAGTTAATTTTACTGTTTTTCAGTGCATTCTGGGCATTTGGGAAGGTCTCCTGATATTATCTTTAAAAAGCACTTCTAAACGCAAACGTGCATAAACGAGGTATGCAAGCACAGCTAAACAGACATTTTTTAATCTACGTTTTCCAGCAGTCAGTTTCCATCGTTCAGAAGTGTTTTCCAAACGTCCCGTGTACATGAGCTCTTATAGCCAGTCCCAAGCACCCTTTAAAAAACAATGGGCAGTCTTGAGGGACCCCATTCTAAAATGCAAAAAACTATTTTAATAGTTTTATATAATGCAGAAACATCCACACATGTAGGACACCCAATGATCCAAATTTTGCACACTGGTACTGACTAGTATTCCAGTTTTTCTTTTCTCCTTCAGTTTTTCTCCATCATTGAGCTAATGTGACCCCAGCACTGATGGAGAGGGGCAAGGGAGGGTCCAACAAGGATGCTGTGCAGGCAGCCAACATCCTCCCTATCAACTGCTGATGCTATTGGTTGTCAGGACGCTGGAGGCTAGAAAGTTGTAATGGTGCACAATGAAAACCTGTGGCTTTGTGTAACTAAAGGCAGGCTTTTTCCACCCACTGGCATCAATACAAGTTTTGGGCAATTTTTAGACATTTGCCAAAGCACCCCTAAAGAAACTTCAAGGCACCCTGGTTGAAAAAGGCTGAAATAGACCCTAGCTGAATACTGGACAATGGATAAATCTGCTTTGGGCTAGGCTCAAGTCTATGAGTCTACATTTTCATATGGTTTTAGTGTGTTCTTAAAGAATGTTGATGCACATTTCTGACCAACATTGAAGTAAGTTTTTAGTGAGGTTTCATACATTCTGCTGTTTTTGTTTTGGGCAATGAAAATCAATATCTTCTGTGACATCATTAGGTGGTTTTCTGTGTGGTGTGTTGGAATGCTATCAGGGCAATCAGAGCAATGTAGAATTATGTCTGCTATTTCAGCTTTTTTTTTTTTTTTTTTTTATTTTGCAGTAGTGATCCTTTTATTGGGGTGTCAGAGGTCCATATATCAGGTAATGTGTCCTGACCTCCTTTATCAGCTGCTCTACATCCAGCATTCTGTGGCCTGCTTTTTCCATGTTTGGTGAGAAGCTTGGAAAAAGTAGAGGTCGCTAGAGAAGTGGACTTGTTATGCACTAATAACCTGCCGCAACACACGCTAATCTAGGCACTCCTGCCAGACAGCACCACCTCTTCCCTCCTGTATGTTTTCAGCCCTAGGTTGACAACACAGTGGGAAAGCAGCAAATACCTGATTTGTTCAGAGGACTGACCTTAGCTCTCCCAGTACGAATGCTGCAGTAAAGGGGCTTACAGGAGGACAATATCAAGCAAAACATGCTTTTATGTAGGAGTTATGTAAAATACATTCAATTATTTTACAGTAAGTACTAGTTTAAATGATGTCTTTGTTATTTAATACTTCATTGACTGAGTTAGATTGACATAAACTGATTTGAGATGAGCAGGGGAAAATCTAGTAATGTCACTTGTACTTAGGCAGTACCCTGAAAAATGACCTGTCTCTTGAATTGCTCATGAAAATTAGCAGTGCATCTCTTGTACCTTGAGCCTAATAGCTGTATATCTGCAGTGTAAGATCAGCAAAGGTATTGCAACCTCTGACTAGTGTTCAAAAAAGCAAGGCCGAAACTAGGGGGGGGGGGGGGGGGGCATGTGTCCCGGGCGCAACACTGAGAGGGGCGCTGCTGCAACCTCTACTCCATGATATGTCAGTTCTTCGCCATTTGACAGGTTCCTGATCTCTCTGCTCCCGCTGCACTTACCTACAATCTCTCCCCCCTCTCTGGTCCAGCTCATCCATTCTATTTCCAATAGTCTCTTCTTTCTCTCCTCCCCACCACACCTGTTCTTATTTTCTTCTCCTTCCCCAAACTAACAGTTTAGGCTATATTACTGCTTTCTCTGAAACCAGGGACCGATCCTGACACACACAAGGCTTTTTTTTTCAGCTGGAATGTGGTGGAATGGAGTTCCACCACATCCAGGGCTAGCCCTGTGCTTTCCGTTTGCTACTGTCACTGATAAACACAGAACCCTGGCTTCTGTATTTAGAAGTGACAGTGCAGCTCTCTGGGTGCTGCTGACTTCAATGAACCTTGTTCTTTCCTGATCTCTGTGCTCTGTACACAGTCTCTCCTGATCTCTGCACTCTGTACATCGCCACTCCTGATCTCTGCACTCTGTACACCGCCACTGCTGATCTCTGCACTCTGTACATCGCCACTCCTGATCTCTGCACTCTGTACATCGCCACTCCTGATCTCTGCACTCTGTACACCGCCATTCCTGATCTCTGCACTCTGTGCACACCGCCACTCCTGATCTCTGCACTCTGTGCACCGCCACTCCTGATCTCTGCACTCTGTGCACCGCCACTCCTGATCTCTGCACTCTGTGCACCGCCACTCCTGATCTCTGCACTCTGTACACCGCCACTCCTGATCTCTGCACTCTGTACACCGCCACTGCTGATCTCTGCACTCTGTACACCGCCACTCCTGATCTCTGCACTCTGTACACCGCCACTCCTGATCTCTGCACTCTGTACACCGCCACTCCTGATCTCTGCACTCTGTACACCGCCACTCCTGATCTCTGCACTCTCTACATCGCCACTCCTGATCTCTGCACTCTCTACACGCCACTCCTGATCTCTGCACTCTGTACACCGCCACTCCCTGATCTCTGCACTCTGTACACCGCCACTCCTGATCTCTGCACTCTGTACACCGCCACTCCTGATCTCTGCACTCTGTACACCGCCACTCCTGATCTCTGCACTCTGTACACCGCCACTCCTGATCTCTGCACTCTGTACACCGCCACTCCTGATCTCTGCACTCTGTACCACGCCACTCGCCATCTCTCCTGATCTCTGCACTCTGTACACCGCCACTCTGATCTCTGCACTCTGTACACCGCCACTCCTGATCTCTGCACTCTGTGCACCGCCACTCCTGATCTCTGCACTCTGTGCACCGCCACTCCTGATCTCTGCACTCTGTGCGCCGCCACTCCTGATCTCTGCACTCTGTGCACCGCCACTCCTGATCTCTGCACTCTGTGCGCCGCCACTCCCTGATCTCTGCACTCTGTGCACCGCCACTCCTTATCTCTGCACTCTTTACACCACCACTCCTGATCTCTGCACTCTGTACACAGCCACTCCTGATCTCTGTGCTCTGTACACAGTCTCTCCTGATCTCTGTGCTCTGTACACAGTCTCTCCTGATCTCTGCACTCTGTACATCGCCACTCCTTATCTCTGCACTCTTTACACCGCCACTCCTGATCTCTGCACTCTGTACACCGTCACGCCTGATCTGTGCACTCTGTACACCGCCACTCCTGATCTCTGCACTCTGTACACCACCACTCCTGATCTCTGCACTCTGTACACCGCCACTCCTGATCTCTGCACTCTGTACATAGCCACACTGCTGATCTCTGTGCTCTGTACACAGTCTCTCCTGATCTCTGTGCTCTGTACACAGTCTCTCCTGATCTCTGTGCTCTGTACACAGTCTCTCCTGATCTCTGTGCTCTGTACATAGTCTTTCCTGATCTCTGTGCTCTGTACACCACCACACCTGATCTCTGCACTCTGTACACAGTCACTCCTGGTCTTTACACAGCCACTCTGTACACAGCCACTCCTGATCTCTGCGATCTGTACACAGCCACCCCTGATCTCTGTGCTCTGTACACAGCCACTCCTGATCCTTAAGGGTGGCTTAAAGGAACATAGTTAACAGAGTTTAAAACAGTATTAAACTCAAAAGCATACAATTATTATATTGCAACTTATTAAATCTTAGATGTGATGGCTGCATTAGTTTTCCTTTTTAGGCTTTCTTTCCTTTATTTTCACTTGGTGATCTAGCCAGGAAGTCTGTTGTTTTTCAAAAGAACAAGCTGTCCTGCAGATTTAGCTGTTAAAGTGTTGAGACAAAACTATTGACCACTGACAAGGGTGCTTACAATGATCATTTTTTTTTCTACTTATTTAAAACATTTAGCCCAAAAGGAAAAACCTGTTTGCTGTAACTGAATAAGTGTGACAGAGATCAGGAGTGGTGGTGTACAGCGTGCAGAGAGTGCTGACTCCACTGTCTTTTGGGGGGGGGGGCGCCAAATTGAGTCTTTGTCCTGGGTAAAAGAATATCTAGCTTCGTCACTGCAAAAGAGATTTGGAGTGAAATTTAGTGAGGTCACTACTGTTCTGCTTACTGTTCTTGCTGCAGAGGAAGCTGTCCCTGAGGAACACCAGTGCAAGGATCTCCCTGTCTTTGCTTCATTCATTCTGTGGATCTTTGTTTCCTACATGCCTCCTTGTGTTTCTTGATTAATACC